GCCGTTCGGTGGGTCGCACGGCAGATGGACGCTCCGTTCCGTAGAAACTAGGAGGACGCCGGCGCGACGTATTGTCGTCTCGTCGCTCGCGTTGTGTAACCACGTCGCACATATTTGTAACACATTATTGCTCCATTCCGCGCGTTCAGCGCCTCGCCTATAGGCACTTTGTAGGTCGCGCTATTCTGATAATTTCGCTCGCGACTCGACGAGTTGAAATTAATAACGCTGAAACGTGTGCCATCCTGACGTTTTTCTTCGGAGAAAAATATTTTCGATATATTCCACGGGACATATATATTTATTTCTATACGCCCACAATACGCATACGCGCGCGCGCGCGCGCGCGCGCGCGCGTATGTGTGTGTGTGTGTGTGTGTGTGTGTGTGTGTGTGTGTGTGTGTGTGTGTGTGTGTGTGTGTGTATTAATTTATGACATTGTTATTTTGACCGGTTGTTATTGAAATAATAAAGATTACTTCGCATGATTGCGAAGCATTTTATCTTGTTTGTCAGAAAAGAAGATAAAATAAAATAGAATATATATTTGTCGTGTATTCTAAATTACATCAAGTCAAAGTCGCTTGCGCGATTAATAAAAAAGATAGATGAAAACATGTAAAAGGAAATCGCGGGACACAACAACGACGCTACACGAATCCAAAATGTCAATTCCAAACGTCTGACTCATTCGTAACTTAATCAGTGATACAGCATGTCACGCATTATGGGACAAATAGTGGATATTAAGAGAGGTCTAGTCGTCATACGCTTTGAACGTTGTAATCATTGATTTAATAAATCGTTAATACGATAAATTAACATTTTTACGTATTCTAAGTTGATTCTAGCTGTGGTGTGACTCATAGTAACGCGATCGCCGATCTGTCGAAAGAAAGTGTTTCAACGAGCACGAGGGCGTGCATACACCATATACCACTCGGGAGGTATTCGCGAATGAGCTTTCATTAGAAACTGACGGGGAACGGCACACGGGATGCAGTTAATGAGGTATCCAAGCTGCCCTTTCCGCAGATTCGTTCGCAACCGCATTCCCACGACGTTACGCAAACGTGGTGCAAGAAAATCCGGACGTGACGGCGTGCCGTATCTTGATGAAGTCTACGTTTCTCTCTTGAATTTGGAGCCGTGATCAATTGTATCGCACGAAAATCGATACCATTGTATCGATCGCGCCCACCGCACTCGGTTCGCTTAACATGTACATGTACAGTATTGGAGTGAATCGCTCGGTAGCGATACGGTATTTCAGTTTCTAACGGCATAAGAGCGCGTAGCCAAGCAACGCTCGCTCTTTGCGCGCGCGCGCGCGCGCGTAAATTTGTGCGCGCTGCGGATTATTGCTTCCGGACGAAGTGGCATAACTGGGCCTGGGTTCAGCTCGGTTAACTCGCATTCGGGCGATGTAGTCTGGCTGGTTAACCGATTTCGCTTGGAGGTGATAAAGGATGGGGTGGATGAGATCAACTCGCCGCGAAGCGCACGCATCGCGGCGCGAACAACCGTGACGCCACGCTCTCCGAGTGCTTCCACCCCGAGGCGGTCGGTTTTCTCCCTCGACAATCTACTCGCTTCCCCTGATTCTCGTGATTGCGTATTAATTTCTGATCTCCGGGCGTTCCGAGGACCAATCGAATCGCACGCAAATGTTCGTCGATGTGGGTAACGAGGGAGAAGAAGGAACAGGAAGTGTGTAAACAAGTGTCGGAAAAACATCGCCGTGGAAATTATCGTTATTAGGTAGCTATGCAAAATTGCAAACGATGTTCGACTTGCGATTTTTTTTCCTTGCGCGAACGCAGATAAGATATATACCGAGCCTCGAGATAAGACGGTTTACGGACGCGCATTACATCACACTTGACAAATGAAGGCTTGTACAATCAATTAGCATACACGTTACTTACATTGTAGAACGTAATGTAATGTTACACTGAATGACTACGGAGACATATTCAAGTTTATAAATTGAAATGATCTTAAAAAATTTTTTATTTATCTTTGATGAATAAAAGTATACTTTGTTTTATTGCGTGTATCTCGAGCGAAACGCAGCGTTGAATGCATCAGTGAACAAATTTCCTTTGCGATCGATAAGTTACTTCGCTTGCGTTGCAGGTGAAAATGTCGGACGTGATTTCTGCATAAAATTCTCATGATTTTGCCATTTTACGCTTCTGCGAGCGGAAACGTGCTGTTTATCATTAGCGCGCATTTTGACACGGACGGTGTTTTAATTCGCTAATAAAACGTACCTTTGACTAGCGACGGATCGGAAGGAGGCGAGGATCTCGTATTTTCGCGCCGCTGCAAATAGCGAGGGGGACTCGGAGAAAGTAATTAGTTCGAGGAGACTGGCGGAAGTGTAGTTTAAAGTATTTCTTGTTTTCATTTATTTATTTTTTTGCCCCGGAGCCAAAGCTGTGGCGGTGAAAGAAGATGGCGGCGGAGAGCGGAGGTAATATCGACACGAACAAGGAGGGGGGGGGAGGGTCGCGGGGATCGTGCTGTTATCTGCCAACCCTTCGACACACACACCTTTCGTCCTGTGAAATTGCTTCCCTCGCGACCGAAGCCTTTTTCCATCGCCTCGCATCCGTTGCGGCTTGCGCGCATGCAATCACGTTGTGTGCTCTATACAACGTTACACGATCGGGCACTGTAAAGGATTAAGTTCAGTTGCACCTAGACGACAATTCTGCCGATTGCCGAAGAAAAGAAGAAACGTCGTATCGTATAAATACGCAAAAGGAATTAAATAAATTTATATTTTCAATTAATAACAAATAATTAATAATATTTTCAATAACAGTCATTAACCTCTTTCTTTTAAACACGACAGGAAAGGTCATTGTAAATCCGCAAATCGACGCAGCGTTCTTGAGAAATGTTTTCCTTATCGCACGATGAGTTTTGTATTTCACCAAGGGGATCATCAAGGACGGAGTTATGACGGGGAGAGGTTCATTTTCCCTACTATAATGTGTTTCATTTCGCGAAATCTAAAAGGGAACGACGGTCCGGTTGCCAAGGACCCGAAGAAACGTCATCCATCTTTACGACGGCAACGAGCACGCCGATCCTGCGATTGGCGGGAGGATGCTGCTACTGGGTAGAGAAAGCTGACAGAATATCATATTACATCTGCGGAAGACGCAAGATTATTCGAGCTCTCTCGAGCCAGGTGGATCGGGATGACGAGACGAGCGGGGGGGGGGGAAGCGGAACACAGGGGGAACCTCACGTAGAGCGCCCGATTCTCTATTAGAGGGTAATACGTATTATCGATTTTGGGATGAAACCGGGAGGGTTATCCCGGTTCAAATCATGACAAATGTATAGATACACACCGACGCGCGCGCAACCGTGCGCTTGTGCGTATCGTGTGTGTGTGTGTGTGTGTGTGTGTGTGTGTGTGTGTGTGTGTGTGTGTGTGTGTGTGTGTGTGTGTGTGTGTGTGTGTGTGTGTGTGTGTGTGTGTGTGTGTGTGTGTGTGTGCCTCAGTAGAAGCGTTTCTCGCGACCGCACCCTGGAAAAACTTTTTCCAATCTCTCTTGCCTCCTTCTCCTCGCCGCTCCGTTGCCGTGAATTTGTTTGCCCAGCCGAAAACAGGGTCGTCGACTTGGAGATCTCCGCAGAAATCCCTGCCGACGAGAGGTAGCTCGTGGCTCCTAAGCGGATTCGTCTCTGAAATCCGGCGATAATTGCCTCGAGTTTTCTACCGTATTTCGATTATTCGTGATACCTCAATTAGGAATCAGTTGCGATGTTGTCGATATATACTGCCAAGATTGATTGAGGTTTGTTACAAGCTGATACAGTTTGCTAAATTTTATTAATAATTTTAAGAAAAAAGTCGTTTTTTCTTTCATTATAAATAAAAAACTATGTAAATTCAAATTTTGGATAAAATATAAAATTAATACAATTAAAAATTGTTGGATTAATAAATAATCTATAATAGAAATACTCAAAAGTCCAAGGCCAGTATTTATAATTTATTTTTAAGATTATTTTAATGATATAAGTATCTATAAAAAAGTTAATTACACGATATTAGTTCATGACATTTTAAAACATTTAAGACAAACTCAATATATGAACAGATTCTGAATATCGAACTAAATTTTATCAGTTATGCTAAAATCGCAAACTTTCTCTCAGAAGATTTATTATATTTTTGATTATAGTCATTTCAGTGAATCAAGATATATTAACATGAATAGCACCAATAAAGATAACGTATAATCCTTTGTTATGCTATTTACTAATTAATGATTACTAATCAATTTCACAATAATGATTACATGATCAATAATTATTTTAATTATGTTTTCTGTATCAATCAATTACTAAACTTGTTAGTCATTGTCTGACGCTGATGAAAATTGTACATGATGGAAGATAAAGTATTATTGAGACATAATATAAATGAAAGATATAATAGTGAGCTCATAGTGAGGAATACTTGAATTCGTGTTACGTGCATAGAATCACGTGCTATCGGGCTTTTGATTCGGGATCGACGATTTTTGTCGAGATATACGAGCCGCGGCATCAGGATCTGGCACTCCGCGAAACAAAACGGTCCTTCGCGGGTGGCCGTCGGCGATCCGTACAAAGACAACGGCTGAAAAAGCGTCGCGAGTATTGACAGGTACGGTGAGAAACTGCCCGAGTTAATCGCAGAAAAAGCTATGGAATCGAGCATGGCGACGAGTTAAATATCTCGCGTCGCTCGGTTCACTCGTCAAGCAACAGAACAGAGCAACGAAAAAAGCGATAGTCGTTTAAAACACTCCGATTTAAACCTCAAAGATCAATACTGACTAAAAAGATATGTGATAAATATAATAAAATTGCTACAATAGTTAGCAAACAATTTTATTGCTGGCAGATTTACAAAGTTGTGTTATTTTCCATTTCCTTCTCGTTACGCCCATCGATAATTCACGATCCTCTCCTTCTTCTTGTTTCAGCAGCCGAAATTCCTCAAGAGGACGACCGAGGAGTTGGAGACAGCTGGTGGTGCTAGTGGCGATGGCGGCTTCGGTGAGCCACCAGTCAAGCTGCAATGCACGCAAGGACAGCATCAGCATCAGCAAGGTCCAGGCGGCGGTGGTGGTGGTGGACCGCATCACGGCCACGGTCAGCATCAACCTGGGAACGGCGCGAATTCAACGGGCCCGACCCCCGGTAGCGGGGGTGGTAATGGCGGTAGCGATGGGAACGAAGGTCTCACCAAATTCCAGGTGCAGATCGTACAACAGTTGGAGTTTACAACCTCGGCGGCGAATAACTCGCAGGCTCAGGCTATCTCCACAAACGTAACGGTGAAGGCGCTGACAAATGCGTCGGTAAAGAGCGATCTCTTAAACGCGTCCTCCTCTCCAAAACCTGGTCCGGACACGCCTACGTCTGCTGCGTCCAGGCCACAGCCCGGAAATGGTAATGGTCCAGGAGGTCCTAATGGACCCGGCGCGAATGGCGGTGGCGCCGGTGGCGCTGCCGGAAGCGGAGGAATCGGTTGCGTCGACATTGGCAATCTTGTCGAATGCAAACAGGAACCCGACAATGAGTTCGTGGATCTGGAACAGTGCGCCGCAGCGCTGGAGAAGGATGCCGCGGCAAATGGTACTGGTTTCCCCGGTTTCTCCGAATTCATGGGCGACGACACCGGCGACGAAATCATCACGTCGGATGCATTTAAGGATCTCATTTCCGAGATATCAGATTTTCATCCAGAATTTATGAAGGACTTTGACTTCGAGGATAAGAGCGTCGATACACTGGCGAACAACGCCGCGGCAGCGGCCGCGGTCGCAGCTGCTGCCGCCAATAATAATAATAACGGCGGCAATAATAACGGACTGCCGACGACGAATAATGGACAGATTAAGATCGAGGATGACAAAGACGCGATCCATCAGCAGCAGCAACAGCAGCAGCAGCACGCCAATGGCGCGAACAACGGCGTCAACAGTAACAATGTTGGTAATAACAATGGTAACGCGATACCAGCTAACTCGAGTCCGGGCGCTCTTGGCTCCTCGCAGTACTCCCCAGCTCGACTTCCTTATTCCGGGCTAGACTTCAAGTCGGAGATGAGTCCGGCGGCACAGACGCTCAAGCAGATGGCCGAGCAGCATCAGCATAAAAGTCAGCAATTGGGCCTGGGCGGATTCAACCCTACGGCGGCCGCGGCGGCGGCAGCCGCGGCGCGTGGTCCAACCGCGAGATCTCCTTATGCCGAGTTTCCTCAATTCGGCGGCGCTTCCGATTATCTCGGTAGTCCTGGCAGCACAGGCCCGACCAGTGGACAAAATCAGGCCACGGCCACAGGGACTGGATCATATCACAAGAATAATGGCACTCCGACCTTCCAAAGTCAGCAGACCAATGATATGTTTGTCAGCTCGCAAACTCAATTCGCCACCGCGGGCCTGACGGACATGAAAAGGCCTCAGCCGACAGCGACGGGCGGCAAACCTGGCATGTTGGGGCCTAGCGGTGGTTACAAGCAACAGTACTCGCCGTACGGTAGCCCGGGTTCGATGCCGAATCATGGCAGTCCGGGGTATCCCTTGCCACCCAGAGGATCGCAGGGAGGTGGGCCCAATCAGACCGGTTCGCAAGGACCCTTCAATACAACCTCCACGCCGCCGAGACCTCCTTCGGGACCAGGTACTTCCACTCTGCAAATCAATCAGGCGCAGCAGCTACACATCGGCAACCAGATACAGGTAAGTGGAGTAATCTTTACTGCGAAAAATCGATTCTTTCGAAAACGATTTGATGTGAAATTTCATATAAGAAATATTCTGCAATTTACTTTCGCACGAGAGATAGCATTTTTTATCTCGATATTCGAAAATGTAAAAGAACTTTCATTATACAACTTTAATTATATCAACTTGAAATTAATTGCATAATTATTAGATACATATGAACAATCACATCGTATTTTATAAAGCTTATTATTCAATCGATTCTAGATGATTGAATAAATAAGATACGTCGTGTCTCTCGAGTTAAACGGATGAAATTTTCCTAAGCTAATCGAGAGCGAAATTCTCAACGGAATATTGATCTTCTTCGATGGGGAGGGAATCCATATCAAATTTTCCAAGTTTCGACATAATAATTTTTTTTAGTCAGCGAACGCCGCTGCCAATCGCTGTTATCATGGCGATCAAGGCGAGCGGCAAGACAATCGAGAATTTCTCGAGGTTGAGCCGAGTGATATCTGTTGCGCCGCGACGACGCGTCTATTTTTGTCGGCGGCATCGCGGGGCATCGTTGGCGACGACGGCGGCGGCAGCAGTGGTGGTAGCGGCGGGCGTCGAAGGGATGGTGACGGCGGCGGCGGCAGCGGCGGTGGTAGCGGTACCGACGTTGTTGGTCGTCGATGAAACGTGGTGATACGGGGGGTAGAAGGGAGCGCTACAGCGTCACGGGGGCGCCGCGACGCGCAACAAGTAGTCTCGTTCCTCCCGCCGGCAATAGCAGCGGCAGTGGCGGCGGCAGTGGCGGCGGCAGTGGTCCTCTTTGTAAATGTTTCCTCTTGCCAGAGTCCACCACCCACGCTCTCATTCCCCCTCCCTCTCTCTCTCTC